AAGTGGTGCAAACGAGGGGGCGGGGGCTGATGCCCCAGAGCAGCAGCAGCAGCGGCCGCCATGGGGACCCCTGCCTCCGTGGTGGCCCGGCGGCTTTGGTGGTGGTGGCCGTGGTGGCGACCCTTGCAGCTCGACGTCGGGTGGCAGCTCAAGCTCTGTGAGTTGTCAGTACCAGCTCGAGTCCGGTCCCCTGCGTGGCACCGTGTTTGGCTGTCCCGGTCACACCGCCGCCCGTTGCTACCACCGCCTCGACGACCTTTTTCGTCTCCGCTTCGGGCCAGCGCCGGACCTCCCAGACTGGCACATCCTGGTACGTCGTCGTGTGCCGGTCCTTGAGATGGATATGGATAAGATTAGCTCTGTTTTATATGCCATGTATGCTGATGACTCTAGTGTTATTGGACCTTATTACCCTGTATTGCCTGGCGTAGGTGTGTCCGCTGTGTGCAGTCTACGCTCCCTTGCTACGTCAGGCGTAGGACCTCCTGACTTGTTTAGCCTTGACTCCATGCTAGTGCCTGCGCCGGCTGACGCTACTGCCACGCTCTGCTTCATGCTGGACTCTGCTGCATCCGCTTGCTTCTTTTGCGACCACACCACTCTCACGCCGCTTTCCGCACGAGCAGCCGTCGCCCTTGCTGACCCCCATTCCGGTCTGGTAGTTGCACATAGCTCCACCACCCTCCCTTGTCCGGCGGTTCCCTCAGGCTCTCTTATAGGTCTGCACAACCCCTCGTTGTCCATCAACCTAGTTCTTGTCGGCTATCTTCAGGACCTCGGCGTCACCACTACGTCCCCTGGGCATGAGCTACGTAACCTGTACTGAGGCCGCCATTGGTGCCCCCCTTACCACGTTCCCCTAGGTCCCAATGTCTGGCCTGTTCATGCTGGACACAGCGCCCCCCGGTGCCTGTGTCCTCCCAGGTGTCTGCATCTACCTAGGTTGCAGTGGCTTGCTCGTACGGTCGGTCACCCACCCGTCACTTCTGTGGCACCACCGCCTAGGTCACCCTGCACTCCCACGTCTACGTCACATGACCTAGCATGGTCTTGTCTTAGGTCTCCCTGTGTCGCTCCCTGCCCTCCCTCCCTCGCCCGCACCTCGTGTTGAGGGCCGGCTGTGCCATTCTCCTCACTTCTCCTCGTTTCCCCCCACCATTGCGCCACTCCAGACCCTGCACCTGGACGTCTGGGGCCCAGCCCCCATCCTTGGGCCACGTCGCGAGCACTACTTTCTGGTTCTCGTAGACGACTACTCGCGCTCCATCACGTTTCCCCTAGAGCGGAAGTCCGACGTGCCTGACATTCTTATCCCGTGGCTAGTAGCTGCTCGAGTACAACGCGCCCAACCCATGCTGCGTCTCCACTTTGACTGAGGCGGTGAGTTCGTTGCTAGTCGGCTTGGCAACTTCTATCATGCGGAGGGCATCACCCAGTCGTACACCCTGCTAGACTCCACACAACAGAATGGGGTCATTGAGCGACACATCGGTTTGGTCATGGAGGTGGCTCGTACCTCCATGATCCATGCTGATGCACCCCATTTTCTCTGGCCATTCGCAGTTCGCTATGCCGCTCACCAGCTTAACCTGTGGCCGCGCTCCCAGCAGCCACAGGTTACGCTGACACTCCTCTGGACTGGGTCCCCTGGTGACGCATTTGCGTTTCATGTCTGGGGCTGCCTAGCTCACATTCGCGACTCTCGCGCGGACAAGCTCACTGCCCGCACCATCCCTTGTGTCTTCCTTGGCTCCCCCCTTGATGCGTCTGACTGGCACTTTTACCACTCGCCGTCTCACCGGTTCTTTCAGTCGCGTGACGTCACTTTTGACAATTCTGTTTCCTTCTACACCCGTTTTCCCCACCGTGGTCTCCCAGTTATCCCGCCCCTGTTCCTTGTCTCCACCCCCCCGGTAGCCCCCGCCCCCCGTCTTGCCCCGACTGGAATGTCTCACGTCACTCCCCTTCTTTTGGTTGGCCCAGCAGAGGAGCCTGATTACTCAAGGGGCCCTGAGGCTCAGAGTGAGTCGCTTGTGTCTGCGGCGCCTGCAACCTCGGCCCTGGTACCTTCTCCGCCTCCGCAGCAGCCGCCGCAGCAGCAGGGGTCAGTGGGCTCTGGGGTTGTTGGCGCTGGGGTTGCTGACTCTGAGGAGGATTCTGGTTCTAGGGGTGCTGGTCCTGGGGGTGCTGTCGTGGCGAGTCGTGGAGGTAGCAGTGGTGTGGCTGGCGGATCTGGTGTGGGCGCGGAGCAGCAGCAACAGCAGCAGCCGCAACAACCGCAGCAGTAGGTGCCCGTGTCCGCTCTTCGCCTCCTCGGTCCTCCCTCCCCCGACTAACTGCCCGCGCCGCCTCCTTCTCTTGTCTACGGCCCTGTGTTACCTCCGACAGACTCGTCCCCGGCTTGTTTCTCCCCTCGTTCACCTCATGTGTCTCTTGACCCGACACCTCCCTCCTGCTGGTGTCTCACCATGCCTCTCGTGCTCGCCCTGTCTCTCTTGTTCCGCATTCCCACCCTATGTTGCTCCGGTCTCATGCGTCTCGTGCTCCTCCCGCTCCTGTTCTCCCATCGCCTCCTTAGTCATCCCTCTCTGCCTCCTTGCCTCCTCTTTCTGACTTCCTCCGTGCTGCTCATCTTCTCGTTCCTCGTATCCTAACCCCTCTTGTTACCGACCCGTCCGTTCCTGTCTCCAGTCTCTCAGCTCTTGTCGCCGTCGTCGCTGAATTTGCCTCTACCCACTGCCTTGACTACGCCACTGCTCTGGTCTCAGACCCTGCCCGACCTTTGTCCGTCGAGGGTGCACCTGCCCTTGGCAATGACGTCCTAGAGGTTAGGCAGTACGAGCTAACTTTCCTGTTCGACGCCGCTCCTCATCTCAGCTCCATGCCCTAACGCCCCTGAGGGCGACCCTAACACCCTTGACATCCCAACCCCTCGCACCTACACTGAGGCGACCTCGGGATCCTAGGCCTCTTTGTGGATAGCTGCCATGGAAGCACAGATGGCATCTTGGAGATCCACCGGCACGTACAGTACGTTGACGTAGTTCCCCCGCCTGGGGCAAACGTAGTTGAAGGCCGGTGGCTCTTCAAGGTGAAGCACCCTCCTGGATAACTATGGGTATTCAAGGCACGCTACATTGCTAGAGGCTTCAGTCAGCGCGAGGGCGCTGACTTCCTTCAAACCTTCGCCCCGACCCCGAAGATAACCACCCTTTGGGTGCTGCTTCACGTAGCAGCACAGCCGACTATGAGCTTCACTCACTAGACTTCTCCACAGCGTTCCTCTAGGGCAATCTGCACGAGCAATTCTACCTGCACCGCCCGCCAGGCTTCTCTGGCACATTCCCTTCTAGGACAGAGTGGTTCCTCCGGTGCCTGGTTTACAGTCTGCGGCAGGCGCTCTATGAGTGGCACGAAACGCGGCGTGCTACACTAGCTGACCTTCAGTTCTTCCCGTCCTCTGCTAACCCGTCCCTCTTCGTTCGCTTAGGCCAGACTCCGTTCTACATCCTAGTCAACGTAGACGACCTGGTCTTCGCTACTGCAGACAGAGACGCACTGGCCTCGGTAAAGGCTGAGCTGCTGAGGAGACACACCTGCACTGTAAGAGTACGACCCCGTTACACCACATATCCCTTTTCCTACTTCCTTCCTATTTTCATTTCTCTTTTTATCTCTCCTCATTTGGTTTCCTATTCTCCATTTTCCATTAACCTTTGGTTTATCCTGCTATTATAATTATATCACCGACCAGGCTTGGGATGTACTCGTGCGCTATATCTAGCGTAATCCTGCCGTAATCCCTTAAAGCAAATAGCCTCGCATGGCTATACGCAGGGTGATTCTATCTTCTAGAAGGGTGTATTCCCTTTCGATAGGATAAACCTGGTTACCTGATCTACTATGGAAGTATAAAAGCGCCTTGTACTGATCGATAGTGCAATCTTTCCTCGAGTCATTCGATCCTGTAACACTTGGTAATCAGAGCTTTTCTCACTCGGTCGCGCTCAACAAAGCAGCAGCAGCGGGAAAACCTGCCTCGAAAAACCGCCGGGGGCGACCAATTGCACGCCGATTCTGGTAAGCACCAGCTCCACGTTTTTTCGAATTACCCCCCCCCGTGCGTGTTTTGAACAGGATGGCAACCTTCGACAACGCCGAGGTTACCCAGCAGCTCTTCGCGCGCATCGCAGCCCTTCAGGAGGAAATGCGAGTGGATCGCGAAGCGTGGCGAAACGAGTTCGAGCGAGTAACTCGACTCGCCGGAGCGTAGCACGACTCGACAACGGCGACGACGCAGCAGTCGAAGCAGTTTCTTGAGGCTCCGAAACCGTGCCCACCAGAGCCGTTCGATCCGAGCGATCGAAACACCGACGCATGCAGATGGATCGCCGGGATGGAGATCTACTTCGCAGCCGTCGGATGGAGCTCGCCAGTCTGGGACGGACAACGCGTATGACTCGCGGTGACGCTGATGCGAGGGCCAGCACTCGAGTGGATTGGGGGTAACAGCACCATTATCCACGGTGAAGCCACGTGGCAGCAGTTCTGCACCGACCTGCTGAAACGATTCGAGCCGATAAATTCAAGTTACCTTGCCCGGGAAAAAATTCATCGCCATCTGCAGTTCGGGAGTGTAGCGCAGTACACGCAGCAGATGGAGGAATTTTATAACCGAATTCCCGACCTAACCGAAGGGGAAAAAGTACAGTCATAGCTCGCCGGGCTGAAGACCGAAGTCAAACGACAAGTGGCAGCGTCAAACTACGCGAGCTACAGTGACGTCGTTTCGGCAGCGGAGCGCTTCGACATGGTCAACGCTGGGACACGACGGACGCACGTCGGCAGTACGCAACAGGGCTGTTAATTGCACATCATCATGAGTGCATATCATCCTAATGTCCTGCCGTATGATCGTCTCATTCGTGCATGCATGTGTGCATGAGCATATATCACATTGCTCGCCATCTTGGATATTCTCATCATCATGATTTTCTCCCAAGATTGAATGCATGGAAAATGCAGGAGAAAGCGTGAGCATTCCAACGACCCCAAGATCGCCCCAATCCGACCGATGATGCCGAAGTTACAAGAATTCCAAGATTGGAAGTTCTAATGACAAATGCTATACCTCGGATATCTCATGGGTCTTCTTATAATGGGGATCTTGTGGTTAGATGGTTGGGGAGGAAACTTTGACTTTTGGTTGGGGTGGCTTGGTTGCTACAAGCCAAAATGTGCAAGTGTTGCAAATGTTGCAACATCTTGCCAAATCCAATCTCTTTGGATTGGCATGTGTCCTCACATGGGCAACTTGGAGAGGGGCCTATGGTGTGCTTGTAGGAAGGTTCTAAACCATTCCTAGACATCAAGAAACCTTGTTTCCCTTCTAGGGCCCTCTTAGAGGTCTGAACCCCGAACCATGTCTACATGGTTGTGTGTCTTGCAAGTTCTATTCACTTTCTAAGGCAACGACCAGCAGTAACGTTTTGATTCAGTTCTCACTCTAGAGTTAATCTTTTCACCTGATTTAAATTTCAGATGACTCTAGACTTATAGGCGCGTCCTTCCACCGAGCAGATTGGCGTTTGGTTGAGTTGAGGTTCTGCTTAATTCGTGCAAAGTAGGCCGATCCTATCAACAAGTGGTATCAGAGCCAGTACCTATCTTTGCGACGACGAATCATGGTCGTTTCTCAACCAATGTCTACGAGTAAGACCTGTTTCAAGTAGCTCAGGTTGCGAGCTTTCCAACGAGCCTATTTTCAGGTCTTTATGTAAAGGCTTGTGTTCGTGGCGGCGTTTCTTGTAAAGCTGAACATTCTGCCAGAATTCTGCCAGATTCGGTCTGTTACGATTGCTTCATCCCTAGAGCTAGCAGATGCCGAATAGAGGCTCTGTAGGTGCTGAGGGCGAGATGGCACGTGGATTTGGAGATAGGGAGCAAGGGGGAGCATCTGGTGACGGTGCTGGAGCTTCACAATCGAGGGGAGAAGCTCAACAGCCTTCACTACCCACGTTATCTACCCCTTCTCCACCATCCAACCCTACCGTGGATCCTATGAAGGCTTTCTCAATTGAGAAGTTCATAGGGGAGGGATTTGAGCACTGGAGCTTTCGAATGCGTCTCATGTTTACTCATTATCATCTGCTAGAGCTCGTGGAGGGAAGGGAGAAGATGCCGGAGAACGCGGATGCCCGTGGCTCATGGATAAAACGCTCGTTCGACACGTACATGCTCTTGGTGCAAGCGGTTGGAGGGCGCCAGTTGGATCACATCAAGGAGCTTCTTGGAGATCCCGAGTGTGGACCAAAGGCATGGAAGAAGCTGCAAGATATCCACTCACCAACTCACGCGACCGCCATTGTGCTATTGGCGCGTCGATTGCGCGACATCAAATTCGTGGATGGAGAGCCAATGCAACCGGTTTTGGATGAGATGCGGGATATCTTTTCCAAATTGCAAGCGGGAGGCTTGGTCTACCCTGAGCTTGTGCAGTGTGTGGAGATTGTCATCAGATTGCCGGAGTCTTGGTCTGCTCTTGCTATCAACCTCAACTCTCAGCAATCCCAGTGGAGCTTGGAGTACATTCGTGCACGGATCTTGGAGGAAGATCTATGGCGACAGAGTGTGGATCGCTTGGGGGATGCTGCTGGTTATGGAGTTGGAGGAGGGAGGAGTGGCTTTAAGAAGTGGAAGGGCAAGAAGAATGACAACTCTCAGGAGGAGAGTACTGGAGGTCAAGACAAGAGCCAAGGAGATGTATGCTTCTACTGCAAGAAGCGCATTCATCGCTGGAGAAAGTGCTATCAACGGCCTAAGGACTGGACCCCACCTTCATGGACCAATCAGCAAGGAGGCAAAAGGAGTGGGGGAGTTATGGGAGCTGGTGGAGAGGAGGATGAGGAGGAGAAAGGCGGCAATGTGGGTGAGCGGCGGCCCGGTTTCTTCTTCTTTGTGAATGAGGGTGCTGCGGATCCAGCAATGGCTGCCAAGGTTCTTCTACATCCGCTATCTCATTGGGTCATTGATTCTGGAAGCTCCTGGCACATGACTCCTCGTGTGGATCTGCTTGATGAGATTCAGCCAGCACCAATCGCTACTGTCACATCCGCTACAGGAGCCAAGGCTAAAGTGATGGGCATGGGTTGTGCCATGTTTGTGGGTGCGGATGGCGAGTTGGTGGTCTTGAAGGAGGTGCTTTGGGTACCAGATTTGTGTGCGAATCTGATTTCTACCGGCCGTTTGGGAGATGCGGGTGTGAACACTGAAACCATCGGCTCAGAGCGCTATCGTGCTTATAAGGAGAGCCGACTCATTTGGGATCTGCAGCGTAATGGGGGAGTCCACTGGCGCATGTGGCAGATTCCCGTGCTCCCATGGCCTAAAGGGAATGAGCCAGCAGCAGCAGCAGCAGTTGAAGGAGCCATGGATGATGAAGATCATGAGGATTGTGATGAGGGGCTGATTGCGGCGGCTGGAGCAAGTGCGGCTGTCAAGGCATCGGCAACCTCTGGACAAGCCTCTTGGGAGACATGGCATAGACGTCTTGCACATGTGGCTGTTTCTACATTGGAGGTGATGGCGAGAGAGCAGAGTGTGCAAGGGCTTCGTCTGCATGGAGGCAATGCTGATTCTCGTGACTGCGAGGTGTGCATGCAAAGTAAATTTGCACGTTTTCCCTTTCATAGAGTGGATGGTTCTGCCAAGGCACCATTGGAAGTGGTGCATATGGATCTGGTGGGTCCGATGCGGACTGAGGGCATTGGTGGAGCCTTGTATTTCCTAACGCTGGTGGATGACTGGAGCAGATTTACATGGGCACGACCTTTGTCAAAGAAGAGTGATGCGGCAGCAGCAATCAAGGAGGATTGGTTGCCAATGGTTGAAAGGCAGTCGCAACGGTTGGTGAAGGTGCTGAGGAGTGATCGTGGTGGCGAGTTCCTAGGAGCAGATTTCACTGCTTGGCTCAAAAAGAATGGCATTCGACACCAACTGACCTGCCCTGGAACACCACAGCAAAATGGCATTGCTGAACGAGCCAACAGAACCATTGGCGAGGCGGCCAAGGCATTGTTGAGGGATGGTGGACTTCCCTACAAGTTCTGGCCTGAAGCTGTTCGCCAAGTGGTGACCGTCAAAAACAGAGTCTTGACGCATGTTGGCGAGCAGCATTGGGTGCCCTATGAGCGTTGGCTTGGGAAGAAGCCGCTTGTAGATATGCTGCGGGTGTGGGGCTGCATGGGGCTTGTGATGGTGCCAAAGGAGCAAAGGCACAAGCTTGAGGTTGCTGCAGTGTGGGCCGTCCATCTTGGGATGGCCCCTGACTCCAAAGGGTGGCTGATGTGGGACCCGAGGAGTAAGAAGACCATTGTGAGCCGCGACGTCAAGTTTGTGGAAAATGTGATGTACAATGACTGGCAGCAGCAACAGCAAGTTCAGATTGGACTGCGGCTGCAAGAGCTCCAGAGGTCAGCTGTGGAGGAGGTTCAGCCGCACCTTGATGATCGCCCTGGGTCAGAGCTGACCAGTGACCACAGTGGTGGTGTCGAGCAGCCCACTGTTGGAGATGAGCCTGAGGAGGGGCTCGAGGATGAGTCAACGCATGTGGACTCACCATTAGTGCCTATGACTGCTCCACCAGCTAGGTTCACTAAGAGGAGTGCACAGCGAGGTGCGTCAACGCAAATGCAGCAGAGTACAACTCATGAGAAGAGGGCAGCATCGCCACCTTCAAGGCTAGGGTATAGCCGCTTGGGAGGACCTAAGCAAGGTGCGATGGCGGTTCAGGCGGATGAGAGTGATGATGAGGAGAGTGCTTTCTGCTTCTTCACCACTCTACCTAGTGATCCAGCCACACTACATGAGGCATGGACTGGCCCTCTGAAGGCAAAATGGAAGCCTTCAACTGATGAGGAGTTCAACAGTCTCATTGAGAATGAGACATGGGATCTTGTGAATCTACCAAAGGGGCGACGAGCCATCGGCAATAAGTGGGTCTTTAGGACTAAGACCGGAGCTGATGGCGAAGTGGAGCGGTACAAGAGCCGTTTGGTTGCCAAAAGGTTTGAGCAGAAGGAGAAGGAGGATTACAAGGAAGTGTTTGCACCTGTTGCTAATACAGGAACCTTGAAGACCTTGCTGGCCATTGCTGCTGTGAAAGGCTGGAGTGTGAAGCAGATGGATATCATCACTGCATTCCTGAATGGGGTGGTGGTGGAAGACATATATATGGAGCAGCCAGTTGGATATGAAGATGGGACTGGCAGAGTGTGCAAGCTTAAGAAGGCAATCTATGGACTTAAGCAAGCTCCAAGGTGCTGGTATGAGAAGCTAGCACAAGTTATCCTTGCTAGAGGCTTCAACACCTCTCAAGCTGACCACAGCTTGTTTCTGCTTGGTGAGGGGGAGCAGCAGTTGTGCTTGCTCATCTATGTAGATGACATCTTGCTGTTCTCCCCATCCATGGAGCAGATTGAGAGGACCCAAAAGCTGTTGATGGACAGCTTCAAGTGCAAGATGCTTGGGGATGTGCATTATTACTTGGGGCTGCAGATTGAGAGGGATGTGGAAAAGAGGTGGCTGAAGATGCACCAGCACAAGTACATCTCTGGAGTGGTGCAGCAGTATGGCATTCTTGAGGGTCGTACTATGAAGACACCTCTCCCTGCAGACTTCAAGCTGAGGAAGGCCACTGAAGACGATGTGGTACTTGAGGAGGAGGAGATGAAGGAGTACCATTCTCTGATCGGGAGTGTCATGAATGCAGCAGTGCAGACAAGACTCGATGCTTCTTTTGGAGTGGGTCAGCTTTCGAGGGTTGTGCAACAACCCATTGCACACTTGGAGGTTGCAAGGAGAATGGAACGCTCCAAAGAAACAAAGTGAGATCGCTCAGTCTCCAGCAGAGGCGGAATATATGGCTTTGTACCATGGAATTAAGGAGATCGTGTCCCTGCGGAAGCTGTTGGAAGATATTGGCGAGAAGCAGGATGGCCCTACGCCACTATTCAGTGACAGCAAGGGTGCTATTGGGATGGCCACTAATCCGATCCTAAATGGCCTCTATAAGCACATGAAAATCAAGTGGCACTGGGTGCGGCAGATGATGAAGGAAGGGGTTGTGGAACTTCACCATGTGAAAGCAAGCAAGCAGGCGGCTGATTTCCTAACGAAGCGTCTTCCTGAAGATGCACACTGGAAGTGTGCTAAGATGTGTGGAATGGCATTGCACTAGATGCTCCAATGCATGAATGTGATGGCATGGGCCTGGTTGGATGAAAGATCATTTCCACATGCATGTGTGTGCATTCCATTAGTCTGAGGGGGAGTTTGTTAATTGCACATCATCATGAGTGCATATCATCCTAATGTCCTGCCGTATGATCGTCTCATTCGTGCATGCATGTGTGCATGAGCATATATCACATTGCTCGCCATCTTGGATATTCTCATCATCAGGATTTTCTCCCAAGATTGAATGCATGGAAAATGCAGGAGAAAGCGTGAGCATTCCAACGACCCCAAGATCGCCCCAATCCGACCGATGATGCCGAAGTTACAAGAATTCCAAGATTGGAAGTTCTAATAACAAATGCTATACCTCGGATATCTCATGGGTCTTCTTATAATGGGGATCTTGTGGTTAGATGGTTGGGGAGGAAACTTTGACTTTTGGTTGGGGTGGCTTGGTTGCTACAAGCCAAATTGTGCAAGTGTTGCAAATGTTGCAACATCTTGCCAAATCCAATCTCTTTGGATTTGGCATGTGTCCTCACATGGGCAACTTGGAGAGGGGCCTATGGTGTGCTTGTAGGAAGGTTCTAAACCATTCCTAGACATCAAGAAACCTTGTTTCCCTTCCAAGGCCCTCTTAGAGGTCTGAACCCCGAACCATGTCTACATGGTTGTGTGTCTTGCAAGTTCTATTCACTTTCTAAGGCAACGACCAGCAGTAACGTTTTGATTCAGTTCTCACTCTAGAGTTAATCTTTTCACCTGATTTAAATTTCAGATGACTCTAGACTTATAGGCGCGTCCTTCCACTGAGCAGATTGGCGTTTAATTGAGTTGAGGTTCTGCTTAATTCGTGCAAAGTAGGCCGATCCTATCAACAAGGGCAACCGCTCGGCTCACCCCACGTTCGCCGACCCGATGGAAGTCGACAGGTTCGAGGGGCGGCCACGTCCGAAAAACACCAACCACACGTGTGATTTTTTGCGGGGTGCTGGGTCATCGAATCTTCGACTGCAACAAAATGAAAGTCTCACGCGCAGAGTATCGGGCACACAACAGTGGCGGAATTCCTTCGGCCAATCAGAAGACAAAAAACAGGAGTCGCCAGTGATTGCGGATCTAGCTGGCGAAAATAAAAAGATCCGAAAGCGACAGCGGGATTCCGAGAAAATCAACTTTGACGAAGCTCATTCGACACGAGAAGGAGGAACTGATGGGGGAAAATCTCCACCCCACGACAAGTCTTCGCCAGAAAAAAATCGCCGAGTAAAAATACAACTCCGCGAAAAAATACTCTGCCGAGACGGGGAAACTCCTTGAAAACCAAAGAAATGATAAGGATTCGTTAAAGTTATCCTATAAAGATGCTTTAATGAAAACTTGTAATTCTCGAGGGGCTAGAGCCTTGGAGAAAATTCGGAAGGGACTCCAAAAGAAGCAGACAGCTGTGGAGATTATACCGGTACCGGACAACTTGGGGAAAAAATTAAGGAGTGTGGAAAGAAGCCGACCTTTCCACGGAGTCAACGTCCTCTCCCGACACCAGTCCACAACGACCACCCATTCCCCAGGGAAGACGTCGGTGGAGCTGAAGCAGCTCAAGAGGAAGCTGGGGGTCTACAAGAAGCTGCACAAACCCCGAACTCCTCCTCCGGATGCATCCAGTTCTTCGGCATCAATGACGCGCACAGTCGTCAAGGAAACTCCGGGCCCTTGAGAAGAGCCTTTCTCCAAGCAGCCTCGGCCAGCTGCCAGCTCAGGAGTAGATAGCAACACAAAGGTGTGTATGGAATATTGGGATGTACCCTATGACCCAATCAATGAGACTATCTTTGGGTACTCGGACCAACGCCTGTTCCTCGTGCTCGAGGTCATCTGCAAAGGATGATGCCTCCAAGCACTCGTGGACAGCGGAGCATCACACACCGTCTGCAACAAGGCAGTAATTGACCAACTTCGGGAAGAGTACAAGCCTTCAGGATTCTCTGCAACGATGGTGGACGGAAGCAAGTTACCAGTACACGGCGAAGCAATGCTACACCTACAAATCGGACCACAGCGCTGGAGACCTGCACTCCCCATAACCAACGTCAAAGGGCTTGACTTGATCTTCGGGCAAACTTCCTAAAAGGATTCAACACCGAGATCAACTGGGTAAACCGCACCGCAAGCATTGTGCGAGTACGACCCCGTTACACCACTTGTTCCTACTTCTCTTTCCTTCCTATTTTCATTCCTCTTTTTATCCCATCCCGTTTGGTTTCCTAGTCTCCCTTTTCCATTAACCTTTGGTTTATCCAGCTATTATAATTATATCACCGACCAGGCTTGGGATGTACTGGTGCGCTATCTAGCGTAATCCTGTCATAATCCCTTAAAACCAATAGCCTCGCGTGGCTATACGCAGGGTGATTCTATCTTCTAGAAGGGTCTATTCCCTTGAGATAAGATAAACCTAGTTACCTGATGTACTCTGGAAGCATAAAAGCGCCTTGTACTGATCGATAGTGCAATCTTTCCTTGAGTCATTCGATGCTGCGACACTTGGTAATCAGAGCTTTTCTCACTCAGCCGCGCTCAACAGAGCAGCAGCAGCGCGAAAACCTGCCTCGACAAACCGCCGGGGGCGACCAATTCGACGCCGATTCTGGTAAGCACCAGCTCCGCGTTTTTTTCGAATTACCCCCACCCCCCCCGGCGCGTGTTTTGAACAGGATGGCAACCTTCGACAACGCCAAAGTTACCCTGCAGCTCTTCGCGTGCATCGCAGCCCTTCAGGAGGAGATGCGAGCGGATTGCCAAGCGTGGCGAAACGAGTTCAAGCGAGTAACTCGACTCGCCGGAGCGCAGCACGACTCGACAACGGCGACGATACAGCAGTCGCAGCAGTTTCTTGAGGCTCCAAAACCGCGCCCACCTGAGCCGTTCGATCCGAGCGATCGAAACTCCGACGCCCGCAGATGGATCTTCGGGATGGAGATCTACTTCGCAGTCGTCGGATGGAGCTCGCCAGTCTGGGAAGGTCAACGTGTACGACTCGCGGCGACATTGATGCAAGGGCCGGCACTCGAGTGGATTGGCGGCAACAGAGCCTTCATCCACGGTGAAGCCACGTGGTAGCAGTTCCGCGCCGACCTGCTGAAAAGCTTCGAGCCGATAAATTCTTGTTTCCTTGCCCGGGAAAAAAATCATCGACACCGACAGTTCGGGAGTGTAGCGAAGTACACGCAGCAGATGGAGGAATTTTATAACTGAATTCTCGACCTGACCGAAGGGGAAAAAGTACAATCGTACCTCGCCGGGCTGAAGACCGAAGTCAAACGACAAGTGGCAGCGTCAAACTATGCGAGCTACAGTGACGTCGTTTCGGCAGCGGAGCGCTTCGACATGGTCAACGCTGGAACACGACGGACGCACGTCGGCAGTACGCAAAAGGGCGACCGCTCGGCTCACCCCACGTTCGCCGACCCGATGGAAGTCGACAGGTTTGAGGGGCGGCCACGTTCGAAAAACACCAACTACATGTGTTATTTTTGCGGGGTACCGGGTCATCGAATCTTCGACTGCAACAAAATGAAAACCGCACGCGCTGAGTATCGGGCACGCAACAGTGGCGGAATTCCTTCGGCCAATCAGAAGACAAAAAACGGGAGTCGCCAGTGATTGCGGATCTAGCTGGCGAAAATAAAAAGATCCGGAAGCGGCCGCGGGATTCCGGGAAAATCAACTTCGACGAAGCTGATTCGACGTGAGAAGGAGGAACTGATGGGGGAAAATCTCCACCCCACGACCAGTCCTCGCCAGGGAAAATCGCCGAGGAAAAATACGACTCCGCGAAAAAAGACTCTGCCGAGACAGGGAAACTCCTTGAAGACCCAAGAAATTATAAGAATTCGTTAAAGTTATCTTACAAAGATGCTTTAATGAAAACTTATGATGTTCGAGGGGCTAGAGCCTTGGAGAAATTTCGGGAGGGACTCCAAAAGAAGCAGACAGCTGTGGAGATTATACCGGTACCGGAAAACTTGGGGACCAAATTAAGGAGTGTGGAAAGAAGCCTACCTTTCCACGGAGTCAACGTCCTCTCCCGACACCAGCCCACAACGACTACCCGCTCCCCAGGGAAGATGTCGGTGGAGCTGAAGCAGCTCAAGAGGAAGCTGGGGGTCTACAAGAAGCTGCACAAACCCCGAATTCCTTCTCCTACGGATGCATCCAGTTCTTCGGCATCAGTGACGCGCACAGTCGTCAAGGAAACTCCGGGCCCTGGAGAAGAGCCGTTCTCCAAGCAGCCTCGGCCAGCTGCCAGCTCAGGAGTAGATAGCAACACAAAGGTGTGTACGGAGTATTGGGATATACCCTATAACCCAATCAATGAAACTATCTTTGGGTACTCCGAGCAACGACTGCCCCTCGTGCTCGAGGTCATCTGCAAAGGACGACGCCTCCAAGCACTCGTGGACAGCGGAGCATCACACACCGTCTGCAACAAGGCAGTAATCGACCGACTTCGGGAAGAGTACAAGCCTTCAGGATTCTCTGCAACGATGGTGGACGGCAGCAAGTTACCAGTATACGGCGAACCAGTGCTACACCTACAAATCGGACCACTACGCTGGAGACCTGCACTCCCCATCACCAACATCAAAGGGTTTGACCTGATCTTCGGGCGAGACTTCCTGAAAATATTCAACCCCGAGATCAACTGGGTGAACCGCACCGCAAGCATCTACAACAATGGACGGAGAGTACAGCTACCCAACTAAGACGATACTGGAGATATCCCAGTGGAGACACTCGCACGATTCAAGAAGGACGTGAAGCGGACCGACACCGGGTTCTTGGCGATAGCAACAGAGGTGGAGAATGACGGAGAGAAAGCCTCGGAACCTCCAGTAAAAATCAAGGAATTACTGAAGGAGTTCCAAGACATTCTTCCTGACGGTCTTCCGAACGAGCTACCGCCATACCGAACGCATCAACACGAGATCGTGGAGGAACCGGGTTCAAAGCCGACTTTCCGAGCACCATACCGGGTCAGCCCTACGGAGCTTACTGACATGAAAAAACAGATCGAGTATCTCCTAGCCAAAGGACTCATCCGGCCATCCACTTCGCCATACGGTGCCCCAGTACTCTTCACACCGAAACCGGACGGAAGCCTGCGCATGTGCATCGACTACCGAGCTCTTAACAAGCAGACCATCAAGAATAAATATCCGATACCGCGAATCGATGACCTGCTTGACCAGCTTTGGGGAGCTACGGTATTTTCCAAACTGGATCTGCGGTCCGGATACTGGCAGATACGGATGGCGGACAACTCTATCCACAAAACTGCTTTCCGAACTCGGTACGGATCGTACGAGTATTTGGTAATGCCGTTCGGACTCACCAACGCACCGGCAACGTTCCAAGCCGAAATGAACCACATTCTACGACCACTTCTGGACGAATGCGTGGTGGTGTACCTGGACGACATTCTCATCTACTCGCGCGACATGAAGCAGCACGTCGAACACCTGCGACGTGTCTTCGAAATTCTTCGACGGGAACGATTCTA